TATGATGATCCCCAAGGGGAAGAAAAAGAGAGAGAGACTGAAAAAATAACTTAAAGAAAAAATGGCTGAATATTTCACCAGTTTGGCAATTCAAATTTACAGATTCTATGAAAACCCCCAATAGAAAACACCCAAATATACGTTAGTTAAGTAAGTTTATTAGTAAAAATTCTGGAAACCAGACAAGAAAACATCCTGAGAGCAACGAGAGAGGGAACATGTTACCCACAAGGGAACAGCAATGTGAATGGAAGTGGATTTCCCCTCAGAGACTATGGTGGCTAGAAGTAAGTGGCAGAATATTTTCTAAAGTGTGAAAAGAGAGGAACTGTGAACCCAGCTCCCTGTATCCAAAGAAATATTCTTCAGGAATAAAGGGGAATAAAGACATTCTCAGGAAACTAAGAGAATTTGTTGCCAACAGACTTACCTTAAAAGGATGGCTAGAGGAAGTTTTCTCTAAACAGAAAGAAAATGATAAAAGAACAACTATCAGAACAACAAGGGGTGGGAGTTAGGGAAGAAAAGAAGTACTTTGGATTAAACAAAGGGGAATGAAGGGAAGGGAGGCAGAATGGGAAAAGGAAAGAGTAGAATGAGTCAGACATTACTGTCCTATGTGCATATATGATTCCATGACTAATGTAATTCTACATCATGTACAACCAGAAGAATGAGAAGTTATGCTCCATATATGTATAACATGTCAAAATACATCCTACTGTCATGTATAACTAATAGGAACAACAAGAAAAAAGAATATCTGGAAGGAACAAGAACATGTACAGCAAAAATAGGGATAAAAACAATAGTGTTGTTTCTCCTTTTGAGTTTTCCTAAGTATACATATCAGTCAAAAAAAACATTATCACACTAATGTGGTTGTAAATGTGTACAGAGCAAATTCCTAAAGACAATTATAAATGGGGTAAGGTAAAGAGACATAAAGGGAGCTAAGTCTTCTACATTGTCACTTGAATTGGTAAAATGATGACATCAGTAGACTGTGGTAAGTTATGTTTATGTTTCCTAGTATCTACATCAACAAGTAATAAGCTATGTGAAACATACACTCAAAAACACTATTGATAAAAGTGGAATTTTAAAGTATGTTCAAGTAACCCACAGAAATGAACAGAAAGGGAGAAAGAAAACAGATAATCAAAAGAAATCAGAAAAACAGAAAACAAAAACTAAAATGGCATATGTCAGCCCTAAATGAAATATAAAATGTTTAAATACACAAATTACATGACAGAGTGGCAGGAGGGATTAAAAAACGTGACCCAATTGTGTGGTTTCTACCAGAAACGGAGTTAAAATACAATAATAGATTCACATTGAAAATAGGATGGTAAAAATGAACATGCAAATGTTAAACAAAGAAAAGTGGGAATGGCTATATTAATATCAGATGAAAGAAATTTCCCAAGTACAGAAAGTTATCAGAGACAGAAAGGGGTGTTGTATTATAATAAAATTGTGAATACACCAAGAAGACAATAATCTGAGAAAGTACATGTACCAAACAGCAGAACAGCAAAATATGAAGAAAAATTTATAGAACTGACAAAAGAGAAATAGGCAATTCTACTTTTCTAGTTAGAGACTTCAGCATCCCCTTTTCAACAACTAATAGCACACTTTTAGAAAATCAGTAAAGATATTGAACTCAACAGACCCATTGACTAACAGGATCTAGTTGAAACTTGAAGTATGCAGAAACCAACAAAAGTGGAATACATATTCTTTTCATTTACCACAACACGTATGCCAGAATAGAGTCCATTGCAGAAGCAAACAAAAAAAAAATCAATAACAAGAGAATAACAGAAGACACCTCTAGACATTAGGAATCTAAACTATACAGTTATAAATAATCAATGGGCTGAAGGGGGAGTTTCAAGCGATTTCAAAATGCATTGAAATGAATGAAAATATAACACATCAAAAATTGTGGGACACAGCTAAAAGAAGGTTGAGAGGGAAATTTATGGCATTAAATGCTTACAATAGAAAAAATAAAGTCTCAAATCAATCATTTTAACTCCCATCTCAAGAACCCAGAAAAAGAAGAGCAAAATAAACCCAAAGCAAGAGGCAGGAATGAATAGTGAAGAGCAGAAATCAATGAAATCGAGAGCAGAAAAGCAATAAAGAAAACTGGCAAAAAAGCCAGTTCTTGAAAAGATCAATAAAATTGATCTCTGGTAAAACTGATGGGAAAAAAATGTCAAGAGAAGACATGAATTAACAATATAGAAATGAAACGAGAAATTATCATGGACCCCAGAAAGCATCAACAGAACACTACAGGAATATTATGAACAACTCTACACACACTCAAATTTGACAACTTAGATGAAATGAGAAATTCCTCAAAAAAAAAAACCAAACTACCACACAGCTCATTCAATGGAAATAGATAATTGAGGGGGGATCCAAGATGGCAGGTCAGAGGGAGGAAGCCTTCTGTGTTGCTTGGTGACCCGGGTCTTAACTAATGGGAATACTGTTTTGCTGAGAGTGATAGAGGACCACTCCATAGCTGATCTCTTACAGGAATAATCATGGCCACTGTGTCCTGTGGGGCCCTAGGCCTCAGCTTAGAAAAGGACTCCTGACTACTTGCCCATGCAAGTCTGAGGGTGCCATAAGGGGGACCACTGGGATCAGTGCAGGTACAGTATTTCCAGACACCGCTCCCATGAAGGACACTGAGTCGCTACCCACATGCAGGAACTCA